ATAAAAGTATTTTCTAATTCATTTTCTACTTTTTAAGAAACTTAAAAGGTGAAAAAATTAAAGGGGAATAAAAACATTGTAAAGTATAATATTTGGTGTATTTAAGTAACGCCTCTTTAACTGTATTAATTCACTAAAAATACTAAAATGAATCTTTTGATAATATGGGCCAAGCGCTTTGTATGTCCGATACGAAATTGAGAAACTTACAAAATAATTGGCCATATGCGAAAACTAAGAATTCTTCCCCGGCGGCCAAAGCTTCAGCTTGATGACTAAAGCATTGGGATTGAAGAATTGGGGGAGCTGATGACAAAATTGTCTCCGCGTTTAACAAATTGGGTGACAGGCTTTGAAGTTGCCGGCAGCGAGCGACAAATGACAAGCATAACAAATGAACACTGTGCGTTTTCCGCTTATTTTTTCTCTTTTACAGATACTTCCCAGTTGTATCTTTCTGTGTTGTGAAACAACAAGGAGTGGAAAGAGTCGGAGGGAAATCTGCCAGGCACTTGAGAAAACAAAGGAGCTAACACCAGAGTCTCGGGAAAAGGAGTCCAAGTACCAGGAGCAGCATCGTATGTCATAAAGTGGCAAATGCGCTATTAAATTGACACATATAAGTCAGAGGCGGAGGACAAGTTACATAAGATTGCGCCAGATGGGCGGGGACCATCACTGAGAAAAAAATACAACAATTTATACAAATTTGGTTATGTCGAATGACAATTTATATTAATAAGTAGGATTAATAAGTCAGTGTTACAAAACAAAAGAAAACCATACAAATTGTTTTATATAATAAGTAGGTGATACATAAAAATATATACATAGAATACAATATTTCGAATATAATTTTTTAATAAGAAATGCACAGTCTCTTAAATATGAAAATTGCTACATTGGATGATAAACATTTCGCCGCTTTTAAAGTTACAAAAAATGTAATACTTCCGTCAATTGTATCTTTTCCAAAAACATTTTTTGCCAAGTGCACAACTGCTGGAGTAGGCGGAAGCGTCAAATTGTCTACGGCAGCGTTACTCCCAAAAACGCGCATAAATCCCAAACGAAGTAGGCATCGACACGTGATTATGCGACCCACTTGAGTCCTGGAACCTGGAACCTAGTACCGTGGTCCTTGGGCGCTACATAAAACGGATCGACGCAACTGCAGTTAAGGATGAATTATTGGTGTAAGCGAATACCCGGCTCACTTGAGAGGCAACATACCGCAACCGACCTTAGTGTCACCTGATCCCACGCGTTCGCACTTAAATTCCCCAACTAGATGATATCGTTCCCAGCTTGGTCAGTGCATATAGAGTACGTGGTCCGAATCCATCCCCCAAAGATCCTTAGAGTCCGGACATGTGTTTCTGGTTTGACGGGGTGTCGGTTTGCCCGTGCATCTTTCACGGGGCCGGGCTTGTTACGGCCTATAAATCGGCGATGGCATTCCTCCGATTCTCCGGCAAGGCATGCAATATGTTTTTGTTTGTTTACGCCAGTCGAATGCCTCTTTTTGGACGCAGCCATGGATGCGAAACTATATCAAAACAGTATTATTGCCCCATTGTAGATTGTAGATTCTTAACGATGGATAGCAGGTATTTCGGCCCCATAAAATGGGCATACCCCATTCGCAAGTGGAACAACTTAAAATTGGAATTCGGTTTCGGTTGTTATTACGAAAGACAAAACTGTTTTGTTTGCAGTGATCGGTCGTTTGGGGAATCGCATCCATTAACGTCTGAAGAAATCCTCGGCTATTTGGTGATGGCCTTTTTGTGAATTATCCGTCGGGTGCTAATTAAAAACCTTCTACGGCCAAAGAAAGGAGCGAGGCGAAGGCGAATGAGACGGCGATCATAAAGAGCGGTGGCACGGCTTTGTGGTTTCCAACAATAATTAAAAGCAAATAAATAAACAGATTTGTACAACGACTAATTGAAGCTCAAATAAATCAAAATCTAACTAATAGTACGACAGACCACCCAGAGTGGCGGGGTCCGTGTCCGTGCGTCCGGAGTGCTGAAAAAGTTGAGTTGTAATCGAAGTGTTAATAGGCCAAACGGGTTTAGTTGGGCAAACACCTTCTCGAAGAGTCCCAAAATCACCCGCGGTTCGGACTTACCATTTTCTGATTTTATTCCATTTCATTTCTTCTGGCATCAGCCGCAGCGACAATCTGACGAAATATCCATCTGATAGTTGCCCAGATTTGCCGACAACCTCAAACGGAAAAATATGGAGCTATGCTTGGGGATCGGGGAAAACGGCAGCAGGGGAAGGGGACGTTGAAGTTGGGGACGCAAATCGAGTTGGAGACGAAAGCGGCAGCGAGTTCGCTTCATGCTCGTTGCACTTGAACGCTTCAACGGCATTCTGATTTGTGGCTGCGGCTGCTGTGCTGTGCGGACTGCGACTGCTACTGCTACTTCAACTGCGGAGCGGGATCCCAAGCCGATCCGAACTTATCCGATCCGGACCAGGACGTGGCCATAACTCACGGGAGGAGCATCCAACGGGTACGGGAGCTGTTGGAGAGGTCTGGACTATGCGGTACCTGGTATACCAAAATCAAATTTTGGCTTAACATAACGTTAAAAAATTTTACATATAGTCTAAACAAAAAATACTTTTTACTGAATATAATAAAGTGATATGTCTACGTGTATTTTAGATGGAAGAGAAAAAATAATAGCATACTTTATGGCGCTTTTAATGGGAAATGCGTCCTGGAAATCAATCTAAGTATTTAGATAGTTATTTGTCAAATCTAAAAATTAATTTATATTTTATTTATTTTGTAGACTAACTACTACTTTCGCTTAATTCCATTATATCTACAAACCCCATAAGCATCCTATTTAAAGTCAACCACAAAATCGAAAATAAACAAACAAATACACATCATGGGAAAGGTGAAAGTTGGTTCCCCCTGAGGAGAATCGCTTGGTAATAAGTTTGACCCTGCTCCACAACGCAACGCACCCCCAGATCCCGCCCAGAATCAAAGCCCGCCGCCTTCGGGCTTCCAATATGGCGTCGCTGCCGTTTCCGCATCGCCTTGATGCCGCTGAGATGCAGCGCTGATAGACGCGCTTTAAATGCATAAAATTGCCGACTATAAATAAGATTTAATGAAACACATTTTTCGATTCTCGATTCTACACGCATCCGCATCCAATCCCCCCATTTGAGGTTTATTTCGTTGTTCTACCATATTGTTTTGGCAAAGGATTGTGGTCGCTGGGAAGAGAAGGCGGAGCGTTTTGCCCGGCATCTTCTATGCTTCTTGAGTTATTATTGTAATTTGGCTGTGGGCAGTCGAGTGGAACGGTTGCAGTTGCAGATGCAGTTACTCCGAAAGATCCCGACCGCGAGACACAGCACAGAAGATGGAAACCCGCCAGCGCTTTGGCATTTCGTGTTCATTTAAATTTTTCACAGTCTATGAAATATAATAAGTTTGCGACATGTGCGCCGTTACGTTCCCATCCCATAATTAGCCAAACGAACTTTAATTTAAAAAAAAGAGATCTTTTCCGTTTTGGGGAGGAATCTATATTTTCGGGATCACATATGGGCCAGGAATGGGCTACAAAGTCTGCAGTAGATCACCACTTTCAGTTCCGTTCGGAACCACCTACGCAGAACTGTTGGCCATTCCAAATGTGTTAGCGGTAAGCCAGTCCACATCCACTTTATGCCTTTTCGTTTCGCGCGCACATCCAAAAATTCAAATGGGCCGTATCGGAATAATGGCAAACCAACGCAACACAACAGAAGAGGAGAGACTATGCTTTTTCTGGTTATTCCACTGCGACGGGTGCACACTGTACAGTGCGTAGTGAAAATATAAAGGTAATAGACAATTTTCTAAGAAATTCACCTCGAACTTAAATTAAATATTAAGGGTTTTCTATAATTTGAATTGGACTTCAGAACATACTACCCTTTGTGGCAACATATTTTAAATATTTTTTTTTAAGATTCCACAACTTTGTGACGCACTGCCCAACTGGGAGTGTGTGGAAAATGCCAGGGAAAATGCATAAAGCGGCGGATGTTTTCTTAATTTTTAATGCTTTAATTTTATTTAAGTGTTTATGGAGAAATAACTAATGAAAAACGCCATGAATTGCATATTCCGCCGCACTCGGGTATTAATAAACGGGCGGCGTGCATGGGTCTGTGCTTGTGTTAAAGCGCAACATGATTCGCTCGATTTAAAATGCATTTCCATGCCAATGGCATCGCGCCGAGTTGCCGCCCTTTGATTTATAAAACAGGCCGTTTCCTTAGCCAATACCCCAGTCTCGGCCGCCGCATCCCAGATCTTCGCTCCATGTCGCCGCTGTTTGTTTACTTAATGTCAATGCAATTAAGGGGAAATACTTTTGGGCAAATATCTCATTGCCAGCGACCGTGCGGTAAAACAAATAAGCAGTCTCGTTACTTTACAGCCAGATCTCTTATATTTCCACGCTTTAAATGCTCTTGCGAATGTTCAGTTTACACATCATAACTTAGCTATTCTAACACAAAACAACAAGCCAGGTTGTGGGTTGGGGTGTTTCATGTTGACCAGGTATCCAGGGGCAAAGCACTGCAAGATTAAGGGATGACGGATAAAGATTAGTTACTAACTTTTGTGATTATTTGTGGCATCGTAATGGGAGACCTCTTAGGCAACTGATTATTATGTTACACATTTTCATTACAAAAAAATATGATACAAGACATAAGCGCACTAATTTAACCATTATAATACGGAGTTTTTAGGAATTAAATGCTAGTTTGCAAACAAAGATTATAATTTAAGGTTTAAATGTAAATAAATCTATAAAACTCATAGACAAATAGGGGTTTCAGAATGTTCTCCTTGAATAAACATTGAATTCCAAAAAAAAACTCTTGGTTTACGACTTTCTCCAGTGAACTTACACAATCAAAACATTGAAATATAAGGCGACTACGCTGAATCACGGATCTTGCGCGGGGTTTAATGGCTTAGCTTAGGGATCGGGACTCCGACTTCACTCCTTCTTGGGAACACTCAGCTCGTAGAAAAGTTTTCCCATGCCACCGATGCCGACGAGGGCGAGAGCGACGGTGATACGGTATAGCACGTTGTCCACGGCGGATCCCTTCAGGAAGACGGGCTTGCCGTCCTTCTTCTGGAAGTGCTCCTGCACCTTGCGGATCTCGAAGTATCCCTTCTCGATCTGCTCCTTGGGCACGGCGGCGGAACGGCGGCCAGCGGTGGTGGCGAAGCTACGTACAACAGCCTGCAAAGGAGTACAAAATGTGCGGTTAGTTCTGAGGCTCCAGGGAACTTACGTAATTCCGTGGGGGTAATGGGATCTCCGGTGTTATGGAACGAATGATTTTTCTCCAGCAAGGAGTGTAGAGTAATGTAGCTTCCACAATTCAACTTACTCTGGACAGGTTCATCATCTTGCTTGGGTTTATTTTTAAGATTTAGCAAAAAGTGAGCAGTTTTCCTGGGCGAAAAATATCGGTCTCGAATATGACAGCTGACAGCTGGAGAGATATCGATTTCATATCGATACATTGTTTCGATATTTCCAGCACTTTGGCATTCACCCCGAAATTTTTATTTACTTTAATAAACGGAATATAAGCAGCTGCATATAAAAACATTTATTCATAATTTCATAGCGGTACTAAAATAAAGACATTGCCATGGGCTTCCTCACAGTATTAAAAAAGATGCGACAAAAGGAGAAGGAAATGCGCATACTGCTGCTGTGGGTTCCAGGATATAACAAGAAAATAGTGATTCATGAATCGTCATTCTTATAGAGGTTTGGATAATGCCGGCAAGACCACGATCCTGAAGCGCTTTAATGGCGAACCCATAGACACCATTTCGCCAACACTGGGATTCAACATAAAAACCTTAGAGCACAATGGTTACACCCTGAATATGTGGGATGTGGGTGGCCAGAAGTCATTGAGATCATACTGGAGGAACTACTTCGAGTGCACTGATGGTTTGGTCTGGGTGGTGGACAGTGCCGACAGGATGCGCCTAGAATCCTGCGGCCAGGAGCTGCAAGTTCTACTCCAGGAAGAGCGATTAGCAGGAGCCACACTTCTGGTTCTGTGCAACAAACAGGATCTACCAGGAGCCCTCTCATCAAATGAAATTAAAGAGGTTCACACTCAATATATATTAATTTATTCAACACATTTAATTTCCTTTATCCTTAAAGATTCTACACCTAGAGGATATCACCACACATCATTGGCTGGTTGCCGGAGTTAGTGCAGTGACCGGTGAGAAGCTGCTAAGTTCCATGGACTGGTTGATCGCCGATATAGCTAAGCGTATATTCACTTTGGATTAAATACAACTTACCTATTACTTGCCTATTTCTCGACCAAGTACATTTTGTATAACTTCTCCTGCTTTTCGTCAGCAAAACTGGGCTTAAAGTTCACCTTGTGTATGGATTCAAATCCCTCGTCTAGGGCTGGCTCCTGGTACTTCTTCTTCATCATATTAAAGACCATGTCTTTGATCTTGGAGTGCGAAGTGTCTGATAGCTCTCGGAAAGCTATATTGTGCTTCACTTGAGCGACGGGCACATTCATCACGAGACAGCGGCAAGGGATTCCCTTGTCGCTGGCCAACTGCAAGAATTTTTTGCGGGAAGCTGCATCCACATTAGTGTTATCCACCACACATGATTGGCCCGAGTCCAGGAACCGTTTGCAGGCAGTCAGGCAGTTTTGAGTGCTACCTAATGTGTCCGCATTGACTATCTTGTAGCCCCGCGATTGAAAAAAGCCGGAACAAAAGTGGCTCTTCCCGGATCCTGGCAGACCTACCATGATGACCATTTCACAGGGGTGGTCATCGAAGGTCAAGTTATCTGGATCAAACAGAGTCACTTGGTCCTGAACGCGAGTGGGATCGAAGTCTGGCTTATTCCACTCCTCCACTCGCTTGCCCAGGAAATGAACCTCTGGAGTGTAGAACGAAAGTCCAACGTTGGCTGCAAAAAGTCGGTCCGCTAAAGAATGATCTTTGCGCTGCTTGGTAGCACCCTTGCCCGTTTCCGGCCTTCCAGCTGCGTCTCCCACGAAGAAACAGCGATCTTCCTGGAGCTCAACACCATCATTCATTTCGCTTTTTAAGTGCTGCCACATTCCCGTCAAAGGTTTGCGGTAAAATCCATCACCTATGGCAATAAATACTTGAATAGGAACTCCCAGCTTAGCCACAATTTGCTTGATCTTGACCTTGAAGTCATCTAGGTTGATTTTTCCGCGAGCTATGCCTCCTTGGTTGGTGAAGAAACAGATTTTAAATCCATCTTTGTGAAGATTCTTAAGTTTATCCAGGACTTCGGGAAATATGATTTGCCAGTCGTCGGTGTTTTTGGGGAAAACCAGTCCCGATTTGGTTTTTATAATGGTGCCATCCATGTCGTAGCCAGCTATCTTTTCAGACGCTTTCACGCCGGCGCTGGTGAAGATTACCAGCTTACCATTGCCAACTGAGTCCCACCTCTCGGATTTCTCGGGAGCTGGTAATGTTGTGGGCGAGGGGTCCGCTTTCTCCTTGTCATCCGTCGGTGGAGGATTAAAAACCAGCTCGAAAGGATGCCTGCCGTAGACGATCTCCACTAAGTCGCCGTGCTTTAGCTCACATTCCGAGTTCTGCATAACCATCAGACCATTGACGCCGCAGGGATTAACTCCCAGCACTTTTAGTGAAACTACAGTCTTTTTTAGGTCCACTTGCAGTTGGATCTGTCGCTTCGAGCACTTGGAATCTCGGATTCCAGTCTCCCGGCTGCGTCCCACGTAATTCTCACCAGCGGCCAGATGTATCGCATGGTGCTCCGGTTCAGTGGGTTTTAGGGTGCAGATCCTGGCGGCTACATCCTTGCCTGTCTTTCCAACAGAGCGGTTCAGGTATTTAGCCATAGACATACTGGTTTATTAAAATAAGAGCATTGTTTGTATAGATATTGGCAAAAATTTTAGGGCTGTTCATAATATATCAAAATATCAATATATCGATATTTTTTCTGAAAATTTTATATTTATATCGTTATATTGTTTTTGCCCAAATATCGATATTGCGATATTTATTTTTGATATTTTAAATGTGTAGTCTGTGTCGCACGAAGCCGAATGACTGACACACATATAACACAACGAGTCTTCCTAAAATCACTTAAACTTCGAGTTAAAATAACTAAATGTTCCAACAGTATTGAACAGTATGACTTTGTATACGAATAAACATAAAAATATATATCCCTTACAGTGTAGGGTAATCAATTTCTTAACAAGAATTTTATATTGTATTTTAAATATTTTGTATGAATAAATATTTTAAAATAAATATTATAACATGCCAATGTGATCTTGCAGTAATCACACTTAAGAACACATACACTACACATATGTACATACACTACACTCACTGCTCGACCGGTAAGAGTGATTACTTGCAATATTTTGTGACTCTAAATTAGAAGACTTGCCTTACAGTCTTCACTAGAACAAGTTGGGAATTATAGGGCTACAAGAAAATATTCTTCCTAAGCAAATATTAAAAGCGGCAATAACTACATATGTGTTCCAACAGTAAGTTGCACATACTTCAGGCTTTATTTAAGACAATTTTTACTACTCACTTTAAAAACATCACTATTTCACTCACTAATATAATTATGACAAAATAATAGATTATTATTTAATTACTTACAGCTCGAGATTAATTTAGTAGCACTTTGTATACGAATAAAAACCTTACCCTTTCACTGTAGGGTAATCAATTTCTTAACAAGAATTTTATATTGTATTTTAAATATTTTTTATGAATAAATATTTTAAAATAAATATTATAACATTTCAAACACAAATAACATTTGCCTGGTTATTTGTTCTTGAAAGTAATCACACTAAAAACAATCGGAATGAAATTCTGTAGAAAACCTTTCAAGGAATGTATACCCATCAAAGAAGGCTTCTAGTAATATAGTCATTTAAACCTTATCATTCGATTGTTAAAGGCAGACAAAATTTTGTTCCGAATACTCCAAAAAGTTTCAGGAAACGTAAATGCAAAGAAACTGTTTCTCTTTGCGCGTAAGTTATTACTTTCCCATAACAATCATTAATTTAATTCGTTCTTTCTGAATAGCCCTTCCTTCGGGGAGCCGGTGTAGTGGGTGCATTTTGTAAGCCCGCTCGTCAATTTTGTAACTCGACTGCTTTGAAATATGCTGCAGCCGCTCCGAAGACACGTCCTGGAAAACTTCCCCCAAAAATGGCCAAATTGAGGAAGCAATTTCAGGCGGACAATGATTTGCCGGTTTTTTTAAAAGGCGGCAGTATGGATAATATATTGTATAGGCTTACCTGGGTGCTATGCTTCCTCGGTATAGGTGGCGATGTATGGTTATGGCTTGGCTATATCATTGCCTAAAACCATAAGGGATCATGCACACAAGCCCACAAGATTCAAATACTCAAATACAAATATCAATTGTAATACCACCTACATTAGTTAACTAATAGCGTTTCTGTACATAGTTCAAACACGGCAAATCAATTATATAACCCCCAACTGCAATAATGTGTATTACTCTGATGTTTTCATTGGTGTTTATAATTTAAGCCGCCAATGTTTTGCCATTCACATTTCAGCAAAATTAGGGTTTTGGTGTTAAAATAGCTCACAAAGCAGCTGGTCACACTGCTGGCACAAATCGCACTTTTGTCTAGGGATGTCGTGATATTAAAAAAATTTCGTATCGATATTTTTTTATAAAAAAAAAATAATATTTAAAATATATTTGATATTTTCGATATTTTTTTTTCAAATAAAATTTGTTTTTTCCCCACAATAAAAATATAAAAGTTTCTTATTAACTTCATGTTTCTTATTGTATCTGTATCTAATACAAATAATAATACAGATTGTGTTTATATAAATTAATGATACTTATTTCCAATACTTTGAGTTAAATGATTTTAGGAAGACTCGTTGTGTTATATGTGTGTCAGTCATTCGGCTTCGTGCGTCACAGACTACACATTTTAAATATCAAAAATAAATATCACAATATCGATATTTGGGCAAAAACAATATCACGATATAAATATAAAATTTTTCAGAAAAAAATATCGATATATTGATATATTATCAACAACCCTAATTTAGAGTCACAAAATATTTCAAGTAATCTCTCATACCGGTTGAGCAGTGAGTGTAGTGTATTTGTTCTAAAGTGTGATTACTTGCAAGATCACATTGGCATCCCTCTTGAACAAATAACTAGGCAAATGTTATTCATACAAGTGTTTGAAATGTTATAATATTTATTTTAAAATATTTATTCATAAAAAATATTTAAAATACAATATAAAATTCTTGTTAAGAAATTGATTACCGTACACTAAAATTATTTTTATGTTTATTCGTATACAAAATGCTACTAAATTAATCTCGAGCTGTAAGTAATTAAATAATAATCTATTATTTTGTCATAATTATATTAGTGAGTGAAATAGTGAGGTCTTTAAAGTGAGTAGTAAACATTGTCTTAAATAAAGACTGAAGAATGTTTTACTTACTGTTGGAACACGTAGTTATTGCCGCTTTTAATATTTGCTTAGGAAAAATATTTTCTTGTAGCCCTATAATTCCCAACTTGTTCTAGTGAAGACTGTAAGGCATATCTTCTAATTTAGAGTCGCAAAATATTGCAAGTATTCTCTCTTACCGGTCGAGCAGTGAGTGTATGAGTACTCATATGAGTGTATGTGTATGTGTGATTACTGCAAGATCACATTGGCATGTTATAATATTTATTTTAAAATATTTATTCATACAAAATATTTAAAATACAATATAAAATTCTTGTTAAGAAATTGATTACCCTACACTAAAAGGGATATATATATTTATGTTTATTCGTATACAAAGTCATACTGTTCAATACTGTTGGAACATATAGTTATTTTAACTCGAAGTTTAAGTGATTTTAGGAAGACTCGTTGTGTTATATGTGTGTCAGTCATTCGGCATCGGGCGTCACAGACTACACATTTTAAATATCAAAAATAAATATCGCCATATCGATATTTGGGCAAAAACAATATCACGATATAAATATAAAATTTTCAGAAAAATATCGATATATCGATATTTTGATATATTATCAAGAACCCTACATTTGTCGGCATTTCTTAATTGCATATTTTCTCACTTTTAAAAGGTAAGTCCGCACGATATTCATTATTAATTATATTTTCCCGTTGAAACACGAATTCCTGATTTTTGTTTGCTTTGCAATTGACTAACCATGTAATTCCCGAACATTCACATTTTCTGATCTGACGGTTCTTCACGTTTTCGGTCTCCATTTTAGCCATAGTTTTGTTTTCTATATTCTTAAGACAATGCCGCTTAACTGCCACATCTGCAGTTTAGCCGGCTTGCTAGAGATAAAATTGCATTATCATCAAGTTTTCATGTGTTACCAAAGCTGCTTGGCTTATTTTTCCAAATTAAAGTAGCATTTTCACATTTTCCAGTTGGGCGAGAAGTAATGTAAAGACTTCAAATAGATTACTTTCGAAAATTCCCAGTTATGTTTTGGCTAAGAGGGCTACAGAGATCTAGGCAGCAACTGAACAGGCTCTGCCATTTCCGTAGTAGTCTAAATTACGGGACCAGTCCCAGTATCCGCTCAGTCCAACCGCCAATCTCCAGAAGTTTGGGATTTTGTAGCTCCCTCGTTCGTTACAGGTATTTGCCAGGTGTTATCTTAAATCCATATATCTAATCGGTTCGTTTCGCTTGATATCTTTGCAGCTGCAGCACCAACCTTCCCCAACCCGCTGAGATGGCCAGTAAAACCGCCCACTTCGTCTTGCCCAACTCGCAGCCCATTGCCGATTTGGACTGCAAGAGTGCCTTCGAGAATCTTACCGAGAAGGAAAAGCTCTATGCCCACCATTTCAGCCAGGCCTCCTGGGACGGTGGACTCATTGCCTTGATCCAGTCCAGTCCGGAGGCGCCGCTCATCTTCTCCCTGCTGCATCGCATTTTCCTGGCCGACAAGATTCCTGTTCTAAAGGCGAAAGCCCTGGAGGCGGGAGTGTCTGAAGATGATTTTACGGTAGGACAGAGAAGAGATTTATATAAATTCGAAAAGTTATACAAATGACTACTTTCAGGCCTTCCTAGTGTACGCCTGCGGTGTGTTCGCCAACGCGGGCAACTACAAGGGAATGGGTGACAGCAAGATCGTTCCCAATCTCTCCGAGAAGCAATTCGAGACCATAGTGAAGGCATCCACTGCCTACACCGATGAGCCGCGCGTTGGCAAGATATTCGAGAAGGTCAAGAATCTAATATATGCGCTCGAGTCGCGTAACGAGATTCTGGGCTTTGCTCCCGACGGAATCACCACCTACTGGTCGGACAACTGCACCAAGGAGGACTCTGAGATCGTGAACGCCTGGCTGACCTCAAAACGTATCGAACCCTACATGTGCCGCACCTTTAAGTTAGTTGAAAATGGTAAAACCATCTATGATGTAAAGCTGGGCTCCGTGGCAGAGTCCACGCAAGACGGGATTACACTTCCGCTGGAAGAATACAATGGCAACCAATTCAGGGTGACCCGTGGTGATTACCAGAAGCTGCTGCAGCGCGTCAACCAGCATCTGCTGGAGGCCCAAAAGTACGCAGCCAACGAAAACGAGTCCAAGATGATCGAGCACTACGTCCGGTCCTTTGAGCAGGGCTCGCTGGCCGAGCACAAGAACGGATCGCGTTGGTGGATTAAGGACAAGGGACCTGTCATCGAGACCTACATTGGCTTCATTGAAACATACAGGGATCCTGCCGGAGGTCGGGCTGAATTCGAGGGCTTCGTGGCTATGGTGAACAAAGAGAGTTCGGCCAAATTCTCCGAGCTGGTGAATCGCGCCGAGAAACTGATAGAGTACCTGCCCTGGACGGAGCCTTACGAGAAGGACTCTTACCTGAAGCCAGACTTCACTTCCCTGGATGTCCTCACATTTGCCGGCAGCGGAGTGCCAGCGGGCATTAATATTCCCAATTACGACGAAATCCGCCAAGATGAAGGCTTCAAGAACGTCTCGCTGGGCAATGTGCTGGCCAACATCAACCGCAAGGATCCCATTCCTTTCCTCACCGAGGAGGATCAAACTTTAATGAAAGAGTACAAGGTGAAGGCTTTCGAGGTGCAAGTGGGCCTCCATGAACTCCTGGGCCATGGTAGTGGCAAGCTGTTCCGCATCGACGAGAACGGCGTCTATAACTTTGACAAAGAGAATACTAAAAACCTGGTCAATGGTGAACCCATCGCCAAGTGGTATCTTCCCGGAGAAACATACGACACCAAGTTCGGAGCAATTGGATCCTCGTACGAGGAGTGCCGCGCCGAAGCTGTGGGCTTGTATCTCTCCCTGCAGCGTGACATCCTGGAGATCTTTGGCTTCAAGGACAAAGCCGAGCAGGACAACATCATCTATATCAACTGGCTGAGTCTCATCTGGAACGGCATGGGTGTGGCTCTTGAGATGTTTAACCCAAAGTCCAAGCTGTGGCTCCAGGCGCACTCACGTGCCCGTTTCGTGATCATGAAGGTGCTGCTGGAGGCTGGTGAAGGACTCGTTAAGGTCGAGGAAACTGAAAATGGCAAGAACCTTTTGCTGACGGTGGATCGCAGCAAGATCGATACCGTGGGCAGGAAGGCGCTGGGCGATTTTCTGACCAAGCTGCAGGTGTACAAATCCACAGCCGACATTGAGGCAGCCTCCAAGATGTACGAACACTACTCAAAGGTCGACGAGAGCGGATCGCATCCGTGGGCAAAGTGGCGGGATATCTGCCTGGCGCATAAGAAGCCGCGTATGATCCTCGTCCAGGCCAACACGGCGATTGGCAAGGACCAAAAGGTACAGCTGAAGACCTACGAGCCCACCCACGAGGGGTACATCCAGTCTTGGGTGGAGCGATACCCCAACACTGACATCGATGACCTTCTGGAGACCATCGTGGAGAAGGACAAGAAGTATTTCCCGACTGCCTTTAGCAACTGAGAACATTTCGCATTTAACATTTTCGCCTTCAACACCGATTCAATTTGTTAACTATGATTTTGAAACAAAAAATATAAATATATAGTCATCTAATGACAAACAAACAATTTTTTAGCTAACCTTAATATTAAAATGTTAAAGATACCATTTTGTAGTGAATGGTAATTTAAAGATCGTATTTGCCATTCGCTGAAAACATTGACAAAGGACTTGTATTGAATTGGTAATATTTTGCAATTCGCAGATTCGTATTCGCGAAGAAATCCTAATAATAATGTAATAACTCTACAATTAAGATTGTAAATACAATTATAATGTGTTCATAGTAGACTGCCGTAACATTTTTGATTTTTTTTTATTTTGTTTCTCGTTTCCTTTCGATTTTGTGGATTTCTGTTTGCATTGTTTTGACCGCCATGGCAACCGGTAGTAATCGTGGTGACCAGATAGACCGTGGAATTTTCCACATCGGACAGCCGCAATTCAAGGTGCCTCATTCGT